TTAGAAGTGTTTTAAATTTAATAACAGAGTATTAGAATCGTGAAGTTCACTTAATTCATCATAAATAATTGAGATAGATACGTATATTGTTGTGTTAATTTTTAACAACAGTTATGCTCGAGTTTTTCGTCTGGTTCCAGTTGTTCCAGTTCGAACCCGTTTCCAGAGAGGATCAATTATCAACTCTCGAAAAACACATGGGTACATTTATCGATCCACTTAGTTTCTCCGTAGCAGTTGGCCCGCGAACCAACCTCGGGCCCATTCTTCGTTCCATTTTCATCCTCGTCCATCGATGTTTCCTTTCTTGCTGTGCTCCTTTTGATCCAGACTACAATCGCCCCGACTCGTGATGCAATTACACAGTCTGCTTCGTACGAAAAGGAACGTCCGATTGTAAACGCCTCGAAAAATGAAACAGGTTAATTTAATTAATTCTTTACTCTTTACCTCTCCAACAAAAAAATGCGACGTGCCTGAAATGACTACATTTTTTGGGAAAAATAATTTACAAAAATGCAGAAAAATGGCTGATCCGATCACTGAACAAATAAACAGAATATTTGATGTTCCACCAATTTTCAAGTCAAATTCATCTTCTCCTCGTTTATTGAAATTATCGAGGATACAGTTTCTTCCTTACAGAGGTCTCTGGTGGTTAAAAAATGGTGGATATTTAGTTCTTCGTAATTCTCCACAGACAATGGGTCTGCTCATAAAAATTACAATGGTAGAAGATTACCATTTAAAGGAAAAGGGAAACTCTGTAATCACCAGTTTCTCTAAACTTACACAACATAGTTTCGAATTATAATCGCGAGCATTCGCGATGTGAAATGGAAGATACCTACGTTTAACTTGCCTGGAAGCTTAACAGAGACATCTGTAAAGAAAAAACTGTATTCATAGAGGTTTCAGCAGCTGTAATTGGATGCATAATTATATCGTTGGTGCACATTGTAAATATAATATTGCAACAGCGTAACCATCGGAACGTGGATCGCTTTAATTGCGCGACACAGTTTGAAAAATTAATTTCCTTAATTAGACGTTGACCGATACACAGACACGAAATTTATCAAGGCCCATATCGTTTCGTCGCTGACCCTATTTCTACGCGAGTGTGTACACACGTCTGCGCGCGTGTGTGTAACTGTAAATCGTCGTGTCACGTTCTAACTGTAATTCAGGCTTTTAGTGTTCCCATGGCAAAATTACACGGGCACCAAATAGGTTCAACTTTTTTTTTTTTACGAATAAAAATAGTCAACTTTTTACAGTTAGTAATTGTAGGTTACACGGCTAATTAACTGCTGTTCATACTTCGTCCGATTATTTTATAATTTAGGCATCAACTCTTCCCGAATAACGTTTTTTTTTTCAAACCAGAAGTTAAAGCTGGGAGGTCGCGATAACCAGCCGTCATTTTTGTGGCCGAATATTTTCACTTCTCGCGAACTTTGAAATTTGTACACTATACTTCACCCAATTAATTCACTCGGCAATTTCACGCTTAACATTTTTCCCATCTCACGTGCACGCAGTCGTCTGTGTGTTGTCCAACACACAGTTACAACGTAATTAGTCTTCTTCGTTATCCTCGATGGCACATTCCTATCGGCGCTCGTCTTCGACGTTAAGAATAAATATTGCACGCATGGCGTTTGTCTTTCTCGTTCTTTCTCACGCACGTACTGTTACGTATTAAGTTATGCCATTGTCTTACGAAAACTACGCGCAATTGTCCTTCTCTAATGTCTCGGTAACGTGATTTATCCGCGCATTACATTACAAGAACGACAATGGAAGACGTATGGAGCTCACTGTAAAATGCGATTGTGAAAATTGCTGTTCACCTTTCACATTTCATTCCGAGAAATTTCAATCGCTGAGAATAGAAATATTGTCACGCAAAATTCTTCTGTCGAGCTTGATTTTTGGTTGCTTGAGAAAAATTCTGAAAGAATTACGATTCCTGAGTTATTCTCGGTGGTTTTGCAATCCCATAATTCGTGTATTACAATCTGTAACGGTACCACTCGCGCTGGCACATTTCAGTACTGTTACACCGGGTGCTCCCACGCGTCGATTGCACTGCGCCAGGTGTTAAAACAATTGGGGCATGTTTCTTTTCTCATTTTCACTCGACGAGAAAATTGGTCGCGATACTCGTATCGTCGATTGTTAACCGTTCGGCGTAATTAAAATTATTACCGCCTGTAATTCGCGCAGCGAAATCGACAGTGACGCAAAACTTTATGTAAGACAAGCGGCGCGAATGGAATCATGAACGATGCCATAATTCGTCGATAACGATTCGTGAAATGTTACTTGCAATATTACGTAATTACGGTACCGTCTTCAGCTTCGGTAATGAACGTATTGCAATAACATGGCGTCGTAAGGATTTAGCGCCATCTACGGCTGACCAGATCGGAGTCCAATGTTACAAGTTTGACTATGTTCGATGTCGTAAAGTTTCTATTTCTCAGGGATTGGAAATTCTTACAATCCACGATCCTTTCAATTTTGAGGGCTGCAAATGGTGTCTGAAAATAATCAGATTTCGAGTAAAAAGTTTCGAAACTGCGGCCACTCGAATATCTGAAATTCGAATTGAAAGCTGGTTACCTACGACTTTGCTTCCCTGTAGATCCCGGCGATCGATAACGTCGCATCATCGATTGAATAACAGGAAATCCAGTCACGTGACTGACAGGAGCCAATGTAAAAACGCGGACGCTCGAGCGCAGACTTCTATGAAGGCATGCGCGCCAGGACGATGAAATATGGAATTTTGTGTTACATCAGGAGGATGCAGATGCTCCTAGAAGGTCAATGCTTACGTGTTCGTGCATCACGGCAATCAGGCGTTTTTTTTTATTCCGTGTCATCGCTGAAATTACACGCGAATCGTCGTCGATCAGAGACGGGCATCATTTCTATAATCGCTTGGGCGAGCATCCAGATGGGCAACAGGTTCCTATATGCCTCCACTGTTGCAACAGATTTTTCTATTTTAAGTTTACTTCATCCAGTATCCTTTTTTTTTATTTTTCCAATTTTTGTTAATTTGCTGTCCTTTGGGTCTACCATTTTTTCCAGGTTACCACTTTCACCAAGTGGCTGTATCTCAGGATACAGTTTCTCCATTGTCAAGCACTGTTGTGCTTCGATCACCTGAAAACTCCGATCGGTGATCGGGTGGATGTTGAACAGTTTCTTTCAATAGTCACGGTGCGTCGAAAAAGTCCTGTCTGTCGCGGTAGACCAAACACACGATAATCAAACGTTGAAATGTGCATCGCCTCGATACACACGACTCGCCACAAGGTTAGCGCACACTGCGTTTAAGGAGTCGATGTCATCGTTTGAATCGCGGAGGCCTAGCCGAGGATCATGCGAACGGCGAGGCTAATTAACCGTGACATTACTCTCAGCGACGATTGATTCCAATTAAATGCAGTGACTCGAAAGGAAGGGATACTTTCTCGTGGTCGCAGGTACCGTTACTTCTGTATGGTTAATTGTCAGAAGAACGTTGCGTTACCAATTAATGAATAATTGGGGACAGCAGTTGCCTATTTCAAATAGTTAGACACTATAGAGATCGAGAATACAACTTGGGCATATCTGAAAAATGAGGGCAGAATGTTTCTGATAATCCTTCAAGAATGATCTTCACAATTACATTCTATATCTCTGATGGTGTTAAAGTAACTGGAATTTGTCTGGGAAAAGAACTTGAAGACTGAAAATTGAAGTTGCAGCGAAGCCATAATGGATAATTGGGAACAGAGTCTATCTTAACAATCCTCTAACAAGGACTCTCTTTATCTACAGTTATACTCATCAGGTTCAGCTAGAATTGAATTTTGCAGGGATTGAAGATAAAACGTGGGAATATCTGATAACTCAGGTTGCATGCAACGTTGTGTACTTATAAGGAATAATTAGGGTCAAGCGGTGCATGCTTTGACTGATCCTCTAAGACGGTTTAATCGAATCTACAGTTACATCCACGTGTTTCTGGGTTGCTAAAGCGATAGAATTGTTCGAGATTAGAAAAGGAGCTTGAGGTAACCGAGGAAATTAAGTTGCAATCAGAGTCAGAACGTTCTTCTATTGAATAATTGAGGCCACTTTAGAACCGGCTAGTAGCTGGAAATTGAAATTGCACTCAGAGTAGAACCAATTTTACTCTGGGGGGGTCTGGAGCTGTTTGGAATCTCGTATCCGCACTCGAATGCGTCATGAATCGGCACATACGTAGAGGAATGTACCGCAAAGAGGTATCCAAACGCAGATGGGACGCCCATTCTCAAAGACATCGGGTCTAGAAGAGGAAGACAAGAGGCTCGCGTTCCACTTAAGGTGCCAATCAAGGCGATTTGCATTCCAGGGACGTTCGTTGGAGTCGCGAAACTGGCGTATCGTCGGCTGTGGTTAACCCTGAAAATTATACGCGAGAACGGAATGTGGTCGACGACGGAGGCTCGCGTGCTTTCATCCAAGAGTGCAGAGGTATGCGGCGTACGTAATGCACCGTGCAGGAAACGCTTGACTTAGAGTCACGGTGAACGCTGTCGATCCTATCCGCGTCCCAGAGTGCCTCGACCCTTACGAAACCATTATCCTTCACCAACGCTACGACCATTAACCCTTTGCGGTCGTATGACCACCTGGACTTGACGTTACATTTCGTTCCAACCGATAATAACTATTAAGACGGTTGGCCAAAACGTCGGTCTTGTCACTTTCGGGAAAATAAGTCGTACAATTTTTACATACCCAAGTTCAAATTTAAAGTAAAAACCTCACCTTTACTACTATCCCCTTAAAAATTTGGTGAGAATAATTTATCTAACTTCAGTAAGTGCAACCAAAGCATAACTTCAATTTACTCCTCGCCACTTCGCAATTTGTTTTGGATCGAATAACAATGACCAAACGTTTGTTTTTAATTGCATTGTTAGTTTATTATTAATTAATTTTGCATGGCAATCGACGCGTAACAATATACATAACAGGTTCGCAATTAATTCAAGAGGATAAGATGGATCTCCCGTTTTCTATAATAATTTATTTACACGTTTCGTCGAAATTGAATGTCGGTCGTTCGCTGTGTGCGGAACACTTATAAGTGCATACGTTGGCTGCGCCCGCTGAACGCCCGCAGCGCGTTTCCCGCACAGTCCCCCAATCGGTTATAACAGACCTGAACACATTAATTGTTTTTGTATATAAATTGTTCAGTCAACGCTTTAAATTTGTTTTGAAAATTATGTAACACCGTTCTGTCTGTATTTCGAGAACGAAGAAATGGTAATTGCGAATATTAAAAAACGATTTGCCTTGGACAGTAGTTCGCCTTAGCATTATTTCCGAGAAAAAAAATTACGTGATTTTTATTAACATTCCGTACACAGAACGGCATTCCACGCGTCGCACGCGAGTCGGTGATCTTTCGAGGCTTACGTAAGGGGACGCGAGCACACGTAAGCGTGTCACGAGAAAATTCAACGAGAATTATTTTCCGTGCGAAATTAAATGACCAGGAAACAAAACTGGGAGATTCCATCGTTGTTTTCGTGCGATAAATATACATACATATATGTTCTTTTTTTTTTGTTTCATGATACACGTCCGCGCGATAAATAAATAACGACGACGTTCGTCTGCGCTTCACAATGAATTTGCGCCATTTTCATTGGTCGACTCTTCGTTTGGCAATATTTTTCAATCATCGAAATCTTTTGATTTAGAAATGTAACTCAAGTTTCTGAACTTGCCAAACGAGGAGTCGATGCGATCGCAATTTTGTGAAAAAAAAAATCTTAATTGTTACTATCGATCCTTAACAATTCGTAACCCTTTAGCTCCAACGTGCAACTATTTGCAGAGAAAAGTCGAATATAAAATTGAGCTGCGATTGAAAATTTCATCCAAAGCGAATCACGCTCTGCAAATATTTATCACGAGAGACGAGTCTCCGGCTAAAGGGTCAATGAGAAATAATTATTGTCGAGCTTTCGTACAATCATCTGGCACATGCGATTAAATAAATAAGTTCCAGTTGCACCTGTGTCCGACTTGGAACTTAAGGACGACTTAAAATCAAAGAATTGTATTTTTTTTCTTAAATCGACGCTTCGCGGTCTTTGTTTCTCTTTTTTTCAAATTTTGGATTTGGAAGACAGCGGAGTGTCGAGTTGCTCCTTCAAAATTCCACTCGATCCTTTCGTTATGGGGGAACTCTGTCGCAAAATGGGATTTTTATAAACGTTACAAAGTAGCTAGAGAAATTTGGATCTAGCTGTAGCACTGGTGCAATGTTCCATCACGAAATCCGTTAACTTTACGCTGGTCTGACGAAGAATCAGAATTCTCCGTTTGCTTGATAACAAATAATCTTTCTCGGTTGTTTAGCTATTTCAATGGCCGCTGGAGAGAGACAGTTAAGTGTTTCGTGACGCGCGAGCCTAGAACAGCCAAAAGGATTACAAAATTTTAATTAGCAAATAAACATATCTGTGACATAGAATTCCAGCGAAGCATCAGATTGGAACGAAAATTCCTCTTGGTTCTCGATCCTTTCTCTTCCCTTCCTTAACCGGCGAATCGAGGATGCAGATTTTCTGCATCTAAATAGATTGCATCTTTTCACTCGTGTCGAACTTGTTTTTAAAGAATCGTAAGAAACAGAGGGGCCGTTCCAACCTGATAATGGCCAAGCATCCACGAAAACTCTCGTGTCATCCCTGCTGTGCAAAACAGTCCCGAGTCCTCTCCATCGAATTCACCATAGCGAAAGGACGGAACGTAGGCTGAGGACGATAAAAAACGGAGATACAGTTCGCGAAGTCGGACGCTTTATGGCGTTTGGCACTGATTCCTATGCTGGACCTTTCAGTGGGCTGTCGTTCGAAGTTGCGTGAAAACGAAATAAAACGAAGGCACTGTCGTGTATGCATAGCGAACGGGTATACCTGTTGCAGGAAGAAAAAGAGTTGGCAGCCTTGGCGTGGAAATGAGATTCGGGTGGCTAGAAATCGTTCTTGATCTCGTTACGGCTCGATATTATCCAATATTTTGCTCATTTCTCGTACTGTATTATGGAATATCGCTAATATCGTCACCGATTTGTTGTCTAGGACCATGTTAAGTTTCAATAACAGCATTCTTGACCTGACATATTCATAGAATATAGGCATAGAATATTGAAGACAATAGTTCATCACTATAACAGGACACATCATCTTGAAATGGTGGATACTTGGAACGTCAAGCCTTTGTTCTGGCTCTGACAGAATGACGAGAAGACATTTTATAATGAAAGTGTTAGACTACTTGGTTGCTCAACAGTGAGTACCTTGAGTTTACAGAGAATCTTAATGATTACTCTAAAGATACTAGTAGCCTTTATGCTTAATGGTATGATATTGGTGGCATACAATTTGACTGAGCCTTTTAGGGTCAATTTACTTTCGACCACCAAGAACTAACAAAAGGCTTTGCTCGTAGACAATGCGACGCGAAGCAATGGCCTCTGATTCACGAACAGTGAAAGGAATTTTCGTGGTGTCGCAACACCGCCATCGAGCGGGATCCAATTCGTTGGACGATAAGTGTCACTGGGTCAGCGTTTCATAAACTCCTCTGACCGCGAAACATGCTGGTTTCCCCTCAGGACAAAACGTCTTATGACAATACGGTGGAAAATAAAGGCAGAATGTCCTCTGGCGAGGCAATTCCGTGATTCGTGGATCGAATCGATAATCGAGCTTTCCTTAATTCTATGGCAACCCGAGTAGCCTTTCAATTCAGAAGCTTGACTCAATACTTTCTTGTTTCACGTTTTAAGCGTTTAGAGACAATTACGAGTATGCGTGCGAAATTATCTGTCTCAGAACACGTATTACTACTTTTACTTTACCTTTTATTAACTTGGTCATTAAGGATAATTTCACTTGCTTATTTAACAGGCTACATTGCCCGAGTTAACTCGAGCGCAACCGTAAAGTCGTTAATAGCTAGGCATCCTCGAGGAATTTTCGATAAAAAATAGTGTTCTACTTTTCAGTAATAGTGTCAGATATGTATCTTTTAATTTGCATATTTGTGACGTCATTCGAGGTTTTTCTCCCCCTCGTGAAGATAATAAATCTTCCAGCAAGCGAAGGAAGCTGTCCAGGCACGCGTGGGTCTCGATTTCCAAACGGTTATTGCACGATAATTCGGTCAGTTGCACCAACAACGCCTTGAAATAAATATGGCGATTCATATTCTCAAACTTCAGACTGTGTTACGCGACGACACGAACGGTGAAACTCGTTGCGAAATTTCCGTCTGACCGACACTTTTCGCCGACGATCAGCGTGTTCGATGAAGCGCAGACAGTTAGAGGAGTGCTTCCAAGGGAACGTTCAACAGTAATTTACATACGTTCAAACGATCATTAACGATGTTTACTCGGGACTTATTTTTGTCACTCATTCCAGAGGGAAATCGCGCGAAGATGCTAATTAAGCCAGCACGAATAACGAGAAGGGTGTTGAGTAATGCATATTCTATTATTCGATAGTTTCTCGCTGGCTATATCTTAAAATTAAAATAATACGTGCATAATTTAATGCAAAATTAATTAGATAGGAAGTTCAGAATTTTAATTTCAATTTAATAACGATGTACGATTTTCTTGTAATTATTTTGGAGAAATTGAATTCGAAGTCGAAAAGGCTCGTTAAGTTTTAAACGAAGTCGACGAAAATATAAATGGAACGACAAAAATGTGTACGTTGCTCTTTAGCGCGAACGAACAAGACGCGAGACAGGTCGGTGAAAAGAAAAAAACTGTCTCGAATTGCGAAATGTAGCGCGTGTAACCGGCTGACATCGACCACGAATCGATGATAATCAAGCCTAATTGTATATGCATACACGGCGATGGCAATGAGTATTCATCGATGCATACGAGCGACAGTCTACAACCAGTTTCGAAATAACCGCGTTCGATGGCCGAACAAACACGAGCGCGACTGAATCGTGTCGCAAAAACTTCGATTTTAATTATGCATTCGAGGTTTTTCTCCGCTTCTGAAATTCTCCGTGGAATTTTATTGAAATCCCGTTCCACGACTTGGCTTGAAATTTGGAAAGTTTAAAAACTTCAACGTACAGTTGAACTCAGCTTGGTAATGTCAATCTTCCCATTTTTGGAGACCTCCATTTTCCAATCTCCGCTATTTTATCCCTAACTAATGAAAATTTCAATTCACAGAATAATCAAGCTACCAAGCAAAGCTGCCCAAAGGATAAACTTTTCCCCCAAGAATATAGGTCTCACGAATTTTTCCCCCGTTTTAGCCGCGCTCTAATTACGATCGCCTCGTTAATTGTGCAGAACGTATTACAAGCTACGTCAGGCGGCGACGTAGCTGCTACCATATTCCAAGATTACATCAGGACTCGGCGTATTTCGTTCTCATGAGTTCGTCAGCGTAATTATTTACCGCGTGTCAAAATGTCAAACGTGATTCCAGTGTCCCGGTCGGTCATTAAATGGCCGCTGGTTATCATCACGGTTAATTTTCCCACAGAAAAATGACCTGATACCAAAGAAGGACGGTACGGTACGCTTCCCCTCAGCACGAACGTTGTCGCTTATGCGATCTTGCCTACTTGTTTCCACAGAGGAAGCGCCGTTGTACGCCATTATGCGCATAAAATGGCAAACTATGCGAACAACACCATTTGGGAAAGTGTAAAATTCAAATTTCGTTTGAAAACTTCCTGCGCGTTTTCTAATTCATTCCCATAAACCCGTTCGAGGCCAATTCTTCGATTGCTTCGCGAAAACAATTTTTCTAAAGCAACGTTTACCTTGAGAAACCAGCCATTTTTTTTTATTATTGTATTCTATTTCCTTCCTCGCGCAGACAATCTGTTCTTTATATTTTCTCATCGATGAAAACAGAACAATGTACGGAGGCTTTAATTTCATGCCACCCTGTGTATCGAAAATCTCCCGTCGTTTCCCTGTCTCGCGTAATTTATTTTTCTCACGCAATTAAGATTAACGTTCGCGTTCTCACGAGCGAGCCGGCTGAAACTCGCGCAGGAGGAATTTCAATCGTCGCCCGTTACCTTTCTAAAAGAAAAAAAAAAAAAATGTATTTCTTTTCCTTCGAAGTAGCTCTTTCATAATTCTCCGAGGTCGTTAGATAATTTTCCAAACAACGAGTAATTTAATCCGCCTCTTCGCGGCGGTTAAAACTGACTGGGAGATCTATTATATTTCTTCTAACTAGACTGTAGATTTTATGGCGTATGATATTATGCTAACCGTATGCAGAAAATATTAACATCGTTCTATTAATTTGTGAAATATATTCTGCATCCATTTTAGCATCCAGGTTACGCGTAACCTACTTTTTAAATAATCCAAGCAATTTAAATATTAATTCCAGGTTATTCGATTTACAGCACGAGCTTGAAAAATATTGGATATTAGCGAGCATAGTCTGGCTTGAAATAAAAATTGAAATTCGTCGGTCGGCTAAAAATGATCCTCAGAAACCCGGTTACCGCGTCTGGAGACGCTCGGATTCTCTGCGAAGCTACCGAATCGTTTTCTCAGAGGAAATATCACGAGGTAGCGAGCTGCATGCCTCCGCGATTTCGTCGTCTAACGAGCTCCAGCCATTAGAACGATCTTCTCGGGCGACAATAATTCGAGCTCGTCTAATTAGCCTGCTCGTTTCGCGACAGGAAGGTCGTTACGTCTCGCGGTGACATTATGTCATCGTGCTTCTGCAATTCCTTTTCCTCCGACGACGATCAACGGGAATTGTATATATCGAACTGCTAATTGAACCAGACTCTAATTACCATGGACGATCGTAACGGCTCAGCAATCTTAGAAGCCAATGAAAAATTCCGTGGATTCGGAATCATGCGAGATCTCGGACGCTTCGACGAAGGCAAACGAGATTCCTGGCGTGGGATAACTTTCTCCCAAAATATTTCGAACCACCGATTTTACCTCGAGGATTAATTATTTCCTAGCATCTTCCGAGAATACCGTAAAACAAGTGGTAACAAATTTGTTGCCTAATCGTCATCAGGGAGCTCTTGATTCGACGAAGAAGATCGACTTTCAAGATGAGATTAACGAGGTCACAAGGTAGAAACCCGACGACGAAGATGAGACCGGGCTCCTCCATCCAGCTTTTTGCCGGAGTAATTTTCCTACTCGGGCAAACGCTCTTCCGAGAATCGAAAGCCAACCTGAACCAGTCGCTCAGGCCACCCATCACGATTTTCCACGCTAACGCTGCGAACGAATGGACTTTTTGCCCCGGAGGAACAGACTCTTTCCTCCTTAAACGAGTCGAAAAACTTCGATTTACAGAGACACTCGGTCCCCACCCAAAAAAAGACAAGGATGCTACCTCCTATACCTATCAGAGAACGTTTCCCGTTTCATTCATGCTTTCCCCCTATCCGCAGAGTCCAGTCACGAAGTCCTCGCCCACGGACTACATTGATCGATAAACGAACGGCTACCGTGTTCTGCTCGACTCGAAACAAATTATTCACTCGTCCAGGGAATCTTCGATAAGAACGTTCCTCGCGACCTAACCCTATCTAACTCTCTCGGGCGACCCAAGAAACGCAGAGCGCGTAACGCGTCCGGACGCTTGGCAACTTCCATTCTGAGGCTCTGACGCACTTGCGAGTCGACGTCGGACGTCTGGAGGGTCCTAACGAGGCCGAGGCCTGGGCAGCGGCTGGAGCTGTTGCTGCTGATGATGGGAGTACCCGCTCCTGGAGTTGGCCTGGGGCAGTATTCTTTCCGGGCTGTCGTCCAGGTTCAGGCCAGCGACCAGTTGGGCAATCTCTCTGTCCTTCTTCTCCTCCTTGGGTAGCGCGTTGCCGTTCTGGCCGCTGAAGCCCAGAGAGGCCAAGCTGCCGTGGCTCCTGCTGCGGTGCTCGGCACGGATGCTGTAAGAAAACGCCCTCTCGTTCAAGTGGCCCTTCCGTCGGTAGATCCCGGTACCGAAACGGGACTCGTTCTCAGGATTATCGGCGGCCCGGTTCATCTCCGCCGTTGTCAGATCCGCGTGGGAGGCGGCTAACCTTCTCGATGCCCCCAGAGTGGAGGTCTCGCCGTCAGGGTGCTGTCTCCTGCCTCTGTTGCCGGCCGTGCCGTACGTTCCAGCCGGGTACATGGCCGTTGCTGGCGGTGGAGGCACCACCGGCAGCGGAGCGTAGACCGGGACGATCGGGGCAGCCGCTGGAATGGGTCTGAGGCCCCGTGGATGATGATGCGCTTTCCTGGGCAAGGTGGCGGCCGGTACCAGCAGAACCGGAGCTGGTCTGGCCAGGGTACCAGCGACGGAACGACTACTGGGCGGCAAGGGATGCGGATGATAGTGCTGTTGCCTCACCGGGTGACCCAGAGTGTGATGTCCGTGGCCGTTGGTGTACATTCCTTGATGGAGCTGAGGGTGAAGATGAGCCTGCTGCAGCGGGTCCTCGTGCAAGGCTCGGTTCTTCAGTTTTTTGAGCTTTTTATTTGCTTTCCTGCGGACGGACGACGACGAGGACTCCTCCAGGAGCAAGGGTTGAGCAGGAGGAGGTGGTGGTGGTGGCGGGGGAGGCGGAGCAACCAGTTGACGGGGCCTGGAACCCTTTGTGCTTCGCAGGGTGCCCTGTTCTTGATACAGGCCATCGACTTCGTCGCGACCCCTGGCCCAAACCTTGTGATTCTCGTCGCCGTTATAGAGGCTCAAGTCATCCGTCGAGGTGCTGTCGAGACGGGTCGCTTGAGGACTGTCCAGAGTGGTGCTGGAGCCACCGAGAGTGTGGTAGAGGCTGTTGCTCGAAGGATGACCGGTCGTCACACCGTTTGTCGTCGTCGTGGTTGGGTCCAGGCCCTTGGCGTAGCTGCTGTCCGCGTACGCGTGGAAACAACACCTGACAAGGGCGTTGGCCGCCATGTCACGCTTGCAAATGAACGCATGACATTCGAGAACCTTGATACCGGTTGTTCGTCTGAGAACAGCGGCGAACAGGGGCGGATGATTGGCGCTAGGCGTCCTGGCGAACGGCGAGTCCAAAGGTAGGAACCTGGTGTTCGAGGAGTCCCCATTTCCGCCCTTCACGTGCCGAACGGCTGCGCAATAGTGCAACGCTTCGATGGGGAAGAACCTGGTGACCTTCTTGCGATGCTCGTCGACGTTCTCCAGCAGAAGGCCGTTGCTCCAGACGCTCAGCCAGGAATCGATTCCACGTGCTCCGAGGGCACCCTGTTCGGGGTACAGTTCTCGAAGCGGTTCCTGGACGCCCAGCAGACCCTCTTTGCTCGCGTGGGGCACCGAGCTGCCCAGGTAGAGGACTCTGCACCGGCAGTACGGCGTTGCCGTGTCTTGGTTCGCACCCCTCATCTTTCCAACCGACTCGCTCGATCGACTCGACCCGGGAACGGGCGATGCAAAGACCAAAGAGTCGCCTCTCTTCCCCGGCGCAAGGAAAAAGTCTACCGACGAACTCGAACAGACCATGCACGATCCTAAGGATGCTACGGAGTCAGAATACCCGAACCATCGAACACCGTTCGAAGCGACATCCAAAGAGCACACGCGGCCTTACCACCGAGCACACGGAAACCCGGGGGACTCCACCCGGTAATTCACTCCACTCGCGATTACGCAGTCACTTTCCAAAGACGCAGCCCGTACGACGTTGCAAAATACGCGTGCGTGGACGACAAGGAGAGCCGCTCTCCAGCTATTTCGCAGCAGCTGTAGCCGCCACTCGCTCGAGATCGCGTCAGGCCATTATGGCCGCCTTCTGACGGCCTCCCCCACCCGGCGGGCAGCGTTCCTTTTTCCTCCTTCTCGGCGTCTCTCTTGGCCGGCTCTCGCCAACCTTTTCCAACCTCCCACTCTACCTGGTCGGGTCCTGTGGTATGCAGCGTACACCAGTGGCGTCGCCGTCCTCCCGGTCGCCCCTCGCCTCCACGTGTGCCGATCGGACAGGTACACACACCCGGACTCACCGACGCGACGTGGAATTCAGCGGGCCCGCTGCGCGGCGCGTCGGCGCTGGTGGAATCCAGAGGCGCGGCCGCAGGCGTCAGCCACGCGAGCCGTCGTCTCCGACGTTCCTGCGAATATCATCGGCTCGAACGACGAAAATGCCGATACGCGCACGGTACCCGGGCCCTTTGGAATCCTGATAAACCGACTCCGCGCGGGGTCCGTCTTCCCTCGATCACGGACGCTGGGCCCCGCTCACAGATGGCGCTGTCTTTTTGCGCTCGCCTGGCGATCACGAACGCTGATTCTGATATTTTTCCAGATTCCCCGGGAGTTGCTCGCACCAGCGATGACGGAGGACACACGACGGAGTGGACAGTCTCCTTTAGGCTCACCGAACGCGCACGAATGCGAGTGGAACAGCGAACTGCGACCGCTTGCACGCTCCTCGTCGAACTGAAGTCCGGTGGAAGGCGTGAGACTTCGTCGGTCGGGGCCCCACCACCGCCGACCTGGCCCCTCTTTCTCCTTCGCGGGTCGGTTTTCTGCTCCGAGAGAGGCACTCCCTGGCTTGTCGTGTCGCCGCGCTCGCCTCGGGAACCCTTCGCTCGATGGGGTGCTCGGAATTGTGCCGAGGGAAATGGGCATTCTTAGGCTGATTTTATGGAGGAACGCTAATGGCTCTCGCCTTTTTCCTTGACTGTGATGCAACCTAGCGTTTTGTCGCCGACGGTTGCAATATTGCGCGCTTTACAGCGGTTCGCGGAGGACTTTGTCCCCGGGCTTCCGAAGGTCTGACTCACGCCGATGGCCGACGACGATCCTCGAGGTCTTTTCTTCTCGAAAAGGTTCGTCCCTGAAGATACGCGTTTAATGGATAGCTCGTGCGGAACCTTGCGTCTCGTGTACAAGGTGTTCGGCCACCTCTGGGAAAAAATTTGAATGGGGGATTCGAGAGGCCAAAATAAGACGAAAGTCATGAATACCAATTTGTTGATTGAGGCTTCGTTAAAAAGTTATTAACGTTTAAAGTTCTATACCGACTGGAAAATTTTTCGTCGAAAAAAAAATTTCAAATCGTTTTGAAGAAAATACTTTAATTAATACAGAAAATTCGTGCAATTATCGAGACTCCTAGGATGATTGAGGTAACCGATGAGAACTAGCATCTCGTGTCTCCGTTCTTATTGCATAACGACCATCTCCTTCACTCGTTGACATCGTGCAATGAACGAGGCGTTCATGCAATAAATTAAGGATCTTTTTATATCGTATTTGTACACTGGACTAAAAAACAGTTCTCCTTGCTATAAGCTAGAATCAAAGATAAACCGCAAAGACTCTGTTGCATCTGTAGGAATTATTATACGCGTTCGTAGGTTTATTTACGATTCACTGCTTACGGTGCTAGTAGCAGAGCGGACAACAATTTTTTGGGCCAGTGCACGTACAGAAATCCTTCGTATTATGTAGTCAGAGTCGTTTGTGTCTTGAAAGCATGGGGGTACGAGACTGGAATGGGTCTTCCTGGCTTTAGACAGGTCGAAAACTCCGATCAAGCTGATATTCTCCTATATCTGGGTTTCTACCTTGGTAGTATCCTGGTGCGGAGAATTTCGGCGAAGTTGGCGGGCCCACTTTGGTCAAATCCATTCACCTCACCTCCACGATGGGGCCCCTGGGACTCTGTACACGATGCAGAGTGCGAAAGAGTGAGTGGTAAGTGGCTACAAATCAAACTGGACCACGATTAAAGAAGACACAAGTGTATAATCCCTACAGTTAACCCCTTCCCGTGCTTTAACGAGTCTGACTCGTGATGAAGATTTTGGCCCAAGCATGAACATTAACGTAACCATTAACGTAAACATTACGAGCCAGGCTCGCGGACAGCAAATCACGATCGTGATTGAGTTTTAGTTCCTATCAGTACGCCACAAGAGTCGGTCGCGATTCATAATCTCTGTTGCAAAGCAGTTTAGTATCAGTCTGGTCCGCTTACCGCGCGTAGACGCCTATAGTTTGGGCCCGGATTCAAGATCTCAAAGTCTTGAGAGAGTTGACAATTTTGGGTTATGACTCTTGGCAGTTGGTTGAACCAGGGACTAGATTATAGAGATCGCAGTGAAGTAGTGAAGTGTGAAATATGCGAGTGAAACTTGACATTGGTCGTGAAATAAAAACAAAAATTTGCAGAATTGCAGAACGGACCGTTCCAAAGTCCAAATTTTATTTAGAAATGGTCCTGTGTTGCATAAAAGAAACATGGACAGCGTTTTTAATCGCAATACACGCTATGTGGCCCCATACAGGTGCACCCGTATGAGTTTACCCGGGAACACTGAACTCGTGCTTGTCAGCGAGTCGGATACCTATTCGAACGTATTTACAATTTTAATCGAAACTGATTAAATCGGGCTCGACGCGCGAAAAGAAAGTAGTCCGAGTTCGTTACCACCGGACTCGTAGTCCTGAGTAGCTAACCAACAAGCTAATAGCTGATTCTCTAAAGATCTCGTCAACAAACGAAGAAAGTACCTCGATCATACAAAGATATCGTTACTTTAATTTTCTACGAATTTTATTTATTCATTCAAAGCTATTAGATGACCCCTTCTTTACAAAAATGTAAAATTTCGTAGGGATACCTAATTAGGGTTGCCTATGAATTTGAAAGTACGACAATTGAATTGGGACGCCAATTTGTTAGTAAAGTAGCAGTTGAAATGATCGCAAATTACTTATGAATACAGCACGCGTTGTAATTGAATACGAGCAATAAATTGGTTTCATAAATATTTATCGAAACGGTTTCTCGTTAGAACTATGTGTCGCGACGAAAGGTTGAGGAAGAACGGACGGCTGAACTTCGAGGCAGCTTTCTGAGCGTCCTTTCATTCGATGCCCCTGGACAGAGCGTTAAAGGTCAGAATTCTCAAGGAAAACTGCGTTTGCTAGAACATTTTCATCCGGGAATTTTCTACCTGGCTTGCATCTACAGTCGAAGGCTCCTTTTGTGTAACTTCTGAAAGAGTCTAACATAAAGAGATTCTGTTAAACGTCTGTGTTTTAAAAGACTCTTCATTGGAGACTTCTCAGTTCTTCTATTAGGAGATAATCTAATCTCGAACTAGTCTCAGCTTATCCCAAACTCAGTCCCAATCGTTTAGAGACATTCGTAGTCTGTATTAGAACTTGTTCCACAACAAAGAACGTTTCTCAGCATTGGCGTAGACGTAAACCGTTCGAAGCTAAATCTTTCGAGTATTCCTAGGGTTTCCTAGAATTCTTTTCTCATAATTTGCGGTCACCTGTGGCGCGAAGGACCAGGTAATCGTTCGAAGGAAAAGTGCCAGGGTCTCAAGCTGGAATCCGTTGTTCCAGGCAGGTGGCAGCCTTCAGATAAGTACGCACCTGTGCCCGAGCACACCGACCCGCCCTTTATAGGTCAGAGACTGCGCGTGCAACGCGGTAGACCTGAATGCGTGCGATTCTCTTTTGACAGAAGCCGATTCGAGGTCTCCAGGTCGAGTCGTCTGGATGTCCGTTCCGTTCCTGTGCCGTGCGACCGCGAGAAGGCGAAATCGCGAACACGCGTTGCGCAACAGCACGAATCGAAACGTCTGCATGGCACTTCGGGCTCTAATGGGGTACGCAGACCATTAATCATACGACGAGTCGTTACGAAGGTGTTCCAACTTGTCCTGCGTTCTTTTTTCGCGTCGACCTAACGACCAGTCGTTTGGCAAATTTTGCTTAAAGCGGCACGCCGAGAGAGGAATATTTTAAGTCACAAAATAAAAAATAAAGGTGAAAAATTCCTCCTGGTAGGTAGAGCAACGCGCGCGTTGGCATTGCTCCAGCTACCAGAAGGAATTTTCCACTTTTATTTTTGATTTATGACGGGTTGTATAATCTCACTTTTATAATTGTAACCAGCAGACGCTGTTTAATTAATTTATTTGCTTAAAATCGAGCGAAAGAAACGTATTCCTCGGTTTATATTGTAAGTCGAAGGAAACCAGTTATCGTTTCTCTGGTCCATAACTACCAGAACCTATTATTACCCTCAATTTGCAATCAGTCATGGTTGTTCCTGCTCGTCTGTTATTTATATTTCTGTGTCAACGTTGTGATTTAAAATATAGAAGGTCGGGGATATCTTGTTTGCAAGGTTTAAGACGCGACGAATCTGGTTTGGAGTTTCCGGTTCTCCCCCTGCAATTTTTACGGGTTCTTTAGATTAAAAGCTGGCCAATGGCTGGCGGAACCGGACGACGACAATGTTTTCCACGTAATTAGTCGCGACCGTATCGTGGACAGGAAAGGAAGACGAAATCTAGGAACGTGAACGAGTCACGTGAAGCCGGTTAAAAGTGGAGGCAGTATCGCGTGACCGGGGGAAACCCTGACCGTGGCCCAATGACGAGAATTTTCGTACTTGGAAAACGGTCCGCGTAACCTTTCGCATGCTTCGCGCGTTTCAGTAATTTTGCAACTCTCAAATGGCCCGAGGAAAGTGGAACATAAGAGGAACACGACAATTACCCGTTGTAAAACAAGCATTAAGAAATTTCTGTTGGGGATATATAATAATGCAAACAGTCGAGCTGGTGGTACATAATTTTTATTCGTAATATAATAATACAGTTTTCGATCAGGGAAGTTTACAAAATTTTATCCGCGTCTGGCTATCTCGACGAACGTTTTCGTTCTAGTGTTTCGAGTATGAGGACCGAGAAAACAAATTTGTAAGATGTAGAAGCCCCAAAAACAGTCGTGCATTCCTGCCCAATCGAGAACGGGCGCATTAGTATGCAAATAGTCGGATCCAGGCTTCTCGGAGTATTTATTCGAGAAGATGGAACCGCTTATCCTACGTTTAACGACCGAAGGACGACCATGCCTTTATGCGAAGCGATACCCCAGGCGTTGAAATCACCGGTTCCTCGCTGGCGTCGACGTAAATTCTCTCGATTTTCAGGACGATGCGTGCTCGCGCGCGTTTTACGATCCTCGAATACTCTTATTTGGGTTCCAAGTAGATTCCGTTGCCTTTCTCCGAATGATTTTTCCTTTTGTTGCTCGGGGAAAAAGGATTGGTCGTCCGGATCATCGACCGATTACTCGTTAGCAATGGTTTGCCTACAAACTCGTGCCATTCCTCGACTCCCAACGAAAATCAAATCTCGAAAAACAGGTACTCGAATTCTACGAATAAACTTTGGTTATTTAAGTATTTTATTTTATTTTTCATACTGTTGGATTTCCAAATAGAGAGTGTAGAATCAAATTCTCTCTGTTGCACCCTGATCTTTCGAAGATTCCTGGAATCGACGATCGAGTGGGTCAGTGGATCGTCGTCGCGTTAATTACGTGGAAACCAGAAGTTGGAATCGCCACCTCGGTCAGGAATTCAGGAAGTC